TGAAACCCCGCATCCTGCCAGCCTGGATCAATCACTTGGCGAGTGCACGCGTTGGCAAGAATGCCTCAAGTGACGCGGTTGTCCCCCAAATCTTCCCCTCGACTCTGCTACGGTTGACCCAGCCACGTCAAACCGCTCACTACTGGCAGCTCTCATGCCCTCGTGCCCAACCCCAACGACACCTGCACCCTTTCCCGCAGTGCCCCTGGCCAACAACGAGATCGTCCACGTCAACATGAAGCGCATCGCGGCTGTGGTCAACAACATGCTACCCGATATGACGTCAGCAGGCGTCAGCATCGCCATCGTCGACACCGGCGTCGACAAGCGCCACCCAGACCTGAACGTGGTGGGGGGCAAGAGCTTCTGCTCGTCCGAGGTTAAGGGGGACCCCTACAGCGACGGCTTCGGCCACGGGACGCACGTGGCGGGGATCGTTGGCGCGAAGAACAACGGGCAGGGCATCGTCGGCGCGGCGCCCGGTGAGGCTTCTGCTTGGCGGCGGCATTGCAGGCGGGCGCTGGATGGATCGCTGCTTTGCTCGTGGCTTTGGTAGAGCCTAAACTCTCGTATGCTTAGGGCGTACGCCTGCCGCACGCCGTGTTTGCACAGCAACAGCACCTCCCAACGCTACAGCTGAACCATGCCGCTGCCACACACCCATCGAGGCCCCAACCGCTGACCCCCATTGCCCATCCGCGCAGGTGTTCCTATATACTCACTGAAGGTCCTCGATTCGGAGGGCACCGGAACAACCTCGGACCTGCTGCGCGCATACGAGTGGCTCTACTACAACGCGCGCGCCCTCGGCATCCGCGTGGTGAATCTGAGTTTGACCGGCGGCGGCGGCGAGGCCGACCCCCAGTGCGAGTGGGCGGCGGCGCTGGCAAAGCAGGGGCTGACGCTGGTGGCGGCGGCGGGCAACAACAAGGTTAACCTGATGCAGGAGGCGCCGGGGGCGTGCGCCAAGACGCTGGTGGTGAGGGCGCAGGAAAACGGGGTGGGGGTGTGGGCCGAAAGAGCCGGTGGGGCACGCTGCTGGAGGGCATCGCTCAATTGCTCAGCTAGCCGACCACGGGTGGTGCCCGTCACTGCTGATCAGCGCGCGTTGTGGCCATCTGACGTATGCTACAGGCTCCACAGCCTCGTATCTGCTGCAAAACCTCGGGCCTCCCATGAACCCGTTCCGCCAGGTGACCTCTTATACCGACAAGGACGGCGTCAGCGCCAACGACGCGGCCTCGTGGTTCTCAAACTACCTGCCGGTCGGCCAGCTCACCGACGCGCGCCGCCGCCGCGTGGTGTCTGCGCCCGGGGAGGACATCATCAGCACGTACCCCATCGACCGCCAGGGCAACAAGGGGCTGCCGCAAGGCTACCAGAGCATGAGCGGCACCAGCATGGTGGGTGTTTGTGGGCCAGGGAGTGAAGTATATGCGCCTGGGTGCTGCAAGAGATTGAGATGTTTGGGTTGATTGGGTACAACACACAGAAAAGATAGTGCAGTGTTTGGGATTGATCGAGGAAGCAACGTGCCGACACCACATGTCTGCACAGACGGCTTACTCCAAAGGTACAAAGCGTATGTTTGGTCGGCCAACACATGCCAACGGCGAACCCCGCCCGCCCGCAGGCCTGCCCCCATGTCAGCGGCGTCGCCGTGCGCTGCTACGCGGCCGGCGAGTGCGACAGCGATGTGGACACAGAGGCGGAGAAGCTCACTGCCTTTTCAAAGGCCTACAACACCGCCTATCCGACCTACGGCTTCACCGGGGACGCGGTCAGCAGCCCCACCAGCAGCCAGTATCTCGGTTACTCGGTGTACGCCGCCCGCTGGTGAGGCGCGGGCCGTGGCGGCCTGGCTCGGCGTGAGGACGGGAGCCGGCAGACGGCTGGACCCACGCCACTGGCGGCAAGCCGGCTGCCACGGCTCGGCATGTCACTAGCTGGTGCACCTCGCTGGGGCCCGTCTGTCGCTGTTAGGCAATCAGCACACAGCGCTCCAGTTGCGGCCCGAGGCTGTTGGGGCGGCGTCAGGCGCTCAATCTGTGTCAAATACGCCTTGAGAGTCTCCCAGCCGCTGGAAAACGCGAGCTAGGTGGGGAAGGCGCGCAAGCGCATGCTTCACCAGCGGGCGTGTGGGGCCGGCGGCGGCCTCGGGCCTGTATTGATTCCCCTGCACACACAGCAATGCATCAGGAACCCATTTATTGTTGTTTTTGAGCGAGTCTGGCGCAGCGCCCTTCCGCGCGCTGGAACGCATTTCATTCCAGGACATCTGCCTTAGACTATTTCATTGTTCACCCCTGCGTTAGCAGCACCCCAGCTGCTTGACCACCTGTACGCACATCATTCACAGCGCGCCACCGCCAGGCCGCCGTGTGGCGGCGCAGGCGGCTTTTGCGCACCATCAGCTGCCAAGCGGTTTGTGAATCCCCTCAGCAGTCTTGCAGGTTTCTCAGTGGCCATCTGTCAATGCAAGGTTTGCATGCACTGTTTTGATATTGTAGCGCCCGGCCAGCAGCCTTTCACACCCTGCTCTACGAGCACGCCGTAGGCTGCTAACTGCTTGCGCCATGTGTAAACCTCACAGGAACCAAGTCTGGATACCACGACCACAGACATAATTGTTGTCAACGCCTCTAGCACGCAGAGGCGACACTGTGGACACTTGCCGGGTGCTGCTGTGCGCGGCCAGCTGCGGCTGCCCTGCAGCGCTGTGCTGTAGCGGTGTGCTGTAGCGGTGTGCTGCCTGCTGTGATTGTGTGCTCCTGCAGCCACCAGCCTGTGTGTTACACCGCTGTCTTGACCCAGCACGCACCTGGGCGCCCCCCCCCGGCCTAGAACAGAAAGATGCTGTGCCAAGCCTGCGTGCGCTCCTGCACTGCCCTGGCGCGACTGCGCAGCTGCCGGCAAGGGAGCTGTGCCTGCGGGCCGGCCTGGGCACAGCTGCGCATGATGTGTGTGTGGAAGTTTAAGCGTCAAAGGGCGGATGTGGCGCTGTCTTGCAGCGCCTCTCAGATGAAAGCGTTAGTTGTGAATTAAAAAGTAAGACAAGGAGCGCTTAGAAAAGGGAGACGGCATCGAGCTTCGCGCGTTGCCCGCGCGACGTGCGCGCACAACTTGGCCCGCACCCAAGCGATTCGTAGCCTAGACAATTAATAGACCTTACTCGAAGTGTTATAGCTATGGAAACTACCAGCATGACGCACCTAGGGAGCGATGGGGCCCTGCTCGGCCTGCGGCGCTTACGGCTGGCGGCCCCAAAGGTGAGCGGGGACGGCGATGGCGTTTGGGGGCGTATTCAGGCATGCTGCAGCTTACAACTGCCTTTAGACTCAATGTTTTATTTCTCAGCGCCCGTCTCACATGGCCTGTGCACAGCACCCCAGGCAGCAGAGCATGCAAAACGGCCTGCTAGAGGTTCCGCCCTCTTTTATTGCCGCCATGCGCCACGTCGCCGTGCCCGGCCCCCGTGGCAGGGCCTGGACGAGTGCCGCTCCCCGATTGGCTCCTCCTACTCGTTTTCTTGCTCCGATTCAAGCTCCGCCCCCAGCCCGGCCGACGCGCGCGCCCGGCGCGCCACCGGGCTCAGCGGCTCGTTCGCCACCGCCTTCAGCCGCGGCGCCGTCCCCTCCTGCGCCGCGGAGCTGAGTCCCGTCTCCCAGCTGTTCCTGGGGATGGGGGACGCGGCCCCGGACATATACGCCGTGCTGCGCCTAAGGGGCCACGCCGGCCTGGAGGAGATTGCAGTGGCCATGGGGCGACTGGCAGCCTCGCATGAGCGTTTCCGCGTGCGCGCGGTCTGCTGCGGCGGGACCTGGAGCATCGAGGTTTGTGGTCGCCAGTCCAGGCTCATGAATGCGAGGGAACGCCGCTTCATGCAAGCACGCGGCCGCTGCGTAGTCCATCCACCGCTCGCCACGTTGCATGCAACACTGCAAAGCACGCACCGTTGCAGCCCCCACTATGTGCAATGCCTGGCCTGCCCTCCTCGCTCGCTCACACTTCGATGTTGCCCCTCGCATGATGCATGGCAGCTCCTGGAGGACTTTGACGCGCGGCAGTGCATGAGGGAGGTGGAGCTGGAGGGGGCCGACATTGATGCCGCATTCAACAGCTTCGTCTCGAGGGTGCGCAGGGCTTGACTTGCTTGCAACCACCAAGCCAGAAGTAGTGCCAACTTGAGGTTGCATCAGACGAGCAACTGCCATGGTAGCAGCATAATGCTTGTGTGCCCTGAGGGTGTGTCTGCTGATGCGTTGGTTGCACCTCACCTTCCACGCGCCCCCTCACACAGCTGATGTCTGGTCCTGTGCTGACAGAGGGCCACCTGCCGCCCTGGGACTGCAGCGTGGTGCACTACACTTCTAACACCAAGGCAAGTTAGTGTTGTGGAGGGGGTTGATAATTTTGGTACGTCATGGCATGCAAAATAAGCTGTATGAGCTGGCTACGCCAAATGGTTATTCACTATTGTAATTTGTGGCAGCCAGGCAGCTGTTTCCAACACCTCCTTCTTCACACTCGCTTCTTTGCGCACATGCGCATGTGCGCATGCACGCTCATCACAAGTGCACATGCACACACACTCACACACACACACAAGGTGACTGACGTCTTGCTGCGATGCAGCCACATGATCGGAGATGGGCAGCTTTTCATGCAGCTGCTCAAGGACCTCTTCGAGGACGCAGATGATCTGGATCTGGATCTGGATCTGACGGTGGAGGGGGCTGTGCCAGGAGGGACAGCCATCGACAGCGAGACATCCAGCAGCTGCGGCCTGATCAAGGCGGCGCGTCCTGGGTCTGCGTTCCTGCCCCCACCCAGCATCGAGCGGGCCGAGCGGGCGGTGAGCGGCCTTCTGTCGAGGCAGGAGGAGCGCCTGTGGCGGGGCGCGCGCGGGTGCAAGAGCGGCTTCGGCGGCAGCGGCCGGCGGCTCTGGAGGTGAGGTGGGGCCGCCGCGCACCCCCTCAAAGCATTCCGCAAACGCATGAGTGCTGGCATCAGGCTGTTGCAATTGCTTAGACCGCTGCCGCTGCCCTCAACGCGGCGAGATTGACATCATGGCACCATCCTGTCCTCGATGCCAAAACCCACGCGTCCAACCCAACCGCCATTCCAACAGACTGCTGGCATCACTCTGGTCCTGGATCACGTCAGCCCTCTTCGTCCTGACCATGCCGTTCCGCCCTGCGGACCCGGTCAACGCGGTCAAAGCCTCACCAGATGAGATGACCGGCCCGCGCGCGTTTGGGTCCGTGACGCTGCCGCTGGGCGACATGCAGCGGGTCAGCCGGCTGCTGAATGTCACCATCAACACGCTGGCGGTCTCCTGCCTGGCCGGCGGCCTGCGGCGCCACCTGCTTGCCCACGGCGGCGGCGCCGCCGCAGCCCCCGCGCCGCGCCGGTGGTGGTGGTCGCTCAAGGGGCCGCGCAGCGGCGAGGCCGCAGTGCCAAACAGCCTGCTGCTCTGCTCCATGGTCGACACCAGGGCCATGAAGCGCAGCGCAGCTGCCGCGGGCCCCGCCGCCCCCGCGGCGGCCGGCTGCAACTCCTTCTCATTCATCGGCGTCCCCGTACCGACCGGCCCCGCGCCGCCGCTCGCGCGCCTCGCGGCGGCGGGCGCGGCGCTGGACTGGATCCGCGGCGGCGTGGCCGTCGCGCTGGCCGTCATGCTGCCGCCGGCAGTCCAGTTCTTCGAGAGGGACAGCTTCAGGGCCGCGAAGAAGATCACAGGGCTGCTGCCTGCGAAGGCGACGATGGCGTTCAGCAACATGAGGGGCCCCGTGAAGAGGGTGGCGCTGCAGGGGTACCTGGTGGAGCGCATGTACAACGGTGAGGGGGCAGGTTACGGCTGAAGTGCACTGCCAGCGCCTGCTACCGTATTTGATGATTTGAAGTGGCTCGACACAGGCGGGAAAATCCTGAACTCTAGACCCTGATGGATCTTGTGACCACCTGGCGTGAGGGCTCGAGCATGGGCTCTGGGGCGGTGGCCCCCCAGCTCTGGTGCCGCCTTGCAGCCCTGCTCAGCCGCCTTGCAGCCCAATACTCCGTCGAGGCTTGGGAGGGTACACTGATCTCGGGAAATGCGCCACAAATGTATGCCTACCTGACACAGGCACCATCACAAACCAATAACCCACCCCGCAGGCGTGCAGCCCAATGCCTTTGGCAGCATGATCAGCCTCATGAGCTACGATGACACGGTGAGTGGCGCTGTGCGTGAATGCAGGGCTCACAAGCAGGCCTCATGACACTTGCTTTGGTGAATCGCTCTGCCTTGCAACACCTGTGCCTGTGTGCGCCCCCCAAGCTTGGTGCTTGCTGTCCCGATGCAGGCGGCGCGATCAAGCATCACTGCAGAGTTTTGTTGGGGTCGCACGTGGCCAGTAACCTCAGATGTGCTGCCCTGACATCCTGATTGGCAATGCAAACCCCACCGCTCCACTCTGCCCTCCTGATTTCCACAATTTCCTGTGACATCATGAACAGGTCACCCTGGTGCACACCTGCTGGACCAGCAAGTCGTCACACCCAGAGGCTCTGCTGGGGGCCATCGCCGAGGAGTGGGAGGCGCTGCGGGACGCGGCTGGCCTGGCCCCGCTGGCTGGGAAGCGGGGCCTCAAAGCCAAAGTGGCGTGAGCGAGGTGTCGTGCATCGGCTCCATTTTGGCTGACCGCCACTCGATGGATGGTGATGTTTTGCAGCCCTGGAGACCCGGCATGATCTAGAACCTTGCAGGGCCATCATGATCAAAGGCGCAATTTGATGAGAGATGCATTGTCAGCAGGGTTGGTTGCCGCTGGGAGTTGACGGGGCTGCGTCAGGGGCGTCAACTTGTGCACAGTGGGGGCCAGACTCCTGTGACACCCCAAGTGTGCACTAGGCGATTCGTGTGATGCAACCTCGTGCAGCTGCACCTGCCATTTGCTAATCTTTTTGGGACATACATACACTTTCTGCCTGCTCGCACTCACTGTCTGCACCCCTTCCGATGAACATGTAGAACATACACTGCAAGCACTCCAGCATGTGAAGACGAGCAAACCCTTGTATCCTCAACCACGGGTTGCCTGCACGCTTCACAAAACAATCTACGACGGGCTTGATTCTGGCCCGCTAACCTCCAGATGAGCATGAGGCGGGCCCGCCCCCCCTTCCTTTCGATTTTGCATGGTGTCGTTTGCACCCCTGTCCCCCCAGCGGCGATGTGGCTGGGCCACGGCGGGTGAAGGCGCAAGAGTTGCCTTCACGCACACTTGAACGACTGGAATAAGCGCGCTAGCAGCCAACCAGAACCCTATCCATCCCTGGCAGCGGCAGGGCGGCAAGCTGAAGCCGGATTTTGGAGGCGTTGCATGACTCATGCTGTACACCCACTGGGACCAGTTACATTGCTTGTCTCGCATGCCCGTAGCTGCCTGCTCACTGCGTTGTGTGCGTTTATTGCAGCGGTGCTGACAGCCCTGCTGTCTATTGATGGCTGTATATGGCTGAATATGATGTGTATACCGGTGAGAGGCATTTGGGTAACAAGACACTGTGTTAGCAAGACGTATGATGTGGACCTTCTGCGTGCGGTCACGAGCTGATGAACACACATGAGCAGCGTGTGTTACAAGCACACGTGATTGTGGTTGGTACGCTGACTCGGCATGTTGAGCAGTTTCTGCAATTATTGTGGTGGCTGGGCCGCTTGTCGTCAATGCAAAAGGAGAAAGACACAGATGATTCAGCATGCAGCACCACCAAAGACTAGAAGACTAGATGACATGAGAAATAAACAATGCAGGTCACAGGTTTAACAAAAGGAATGCTGCAAAGCACAAGTTCAGCACAAGCACAAGCACAAGCACACACGCACACACACACACACACACACACACACACACACACATCAACTCAGGGTGCGACGATGCCGCCCCGCGTCTCAGCAGCGGCAGACGCATCGCGGGCTGCCTCCTGCAGCACGACGGCGACCGCCAGCAAAGCGCGCGCGTCCAGCCGCGCAGGCCCGTCGCTGCAGGCCGCCGCCCCTCCATCGCCGCCGCCGCCGCCGCCGCCGCGGGCGACCAGGGGCAGCAGCCGGTCGGCCGCCGACCGCACGGCTTCCAACACATCAAGATCTGCGACCGACAAGAGATCCGCCCACCCGGTCCCCGCGCCCGCCTCGCCGTTCCCTACCCCGCCCTCGCCCCCGCCGTCGCCTTCCGCAAGCAGCGCCGCGGCCGCGGGGCAGCGCGGCGCCGCGTGCAGCGGCGACATGCATACCGCGCACGCGCGCGGCGCGTCGAGCACCTCATCTAAGGGCAGC